CACACCTGAGTGACTCCAGCTTCACAAGACTGGATCCTTAGTAGTTACATGTGTACTTTGTTGTTAAAAGCCCAAGTAAATTGACAAATATTGCACATAAAGCAATATTTGCATTCTGCTTACAGAGAGCAGGAATGCACTATATCTATGGTTTGATGGCTCTGTACAGGTCTTACAGGCCAAACTAAACTTTAACTAAAGGGCTCATCACAAGAAGTAAACTGGAGTGGCTTCAGCACAGCATGAGTTTACCCCAGGTCTCATGCACACAACGGGTGCTCATCCTGTGGCAATTGCTCAAATTTAACTAGAGCTTATGCTCCTGGAAAAGGAGCCTCCCCAATTTCCCGGATGACTGACCCAGATGTGCCTTACACAGACAAACAACACCCACGGCGATCTGTGAATCAGACCAGCAGCCACTGGATGGAGGCCCTGCTTTCTGTTCACTGAATTTCACAGAAGTCTCTGAATATTTTCCATTTACTGTTGTGTTCTGGATACAGGCCTGTCAAATCTGCTTCAAACTGTCTAGAAGACCTCATATACCACTGCCAGAATCTGCTCTGCCAAGTTTCCAGAGCTGAATAGGGAACTAGAGGCTGTGAATGCATTTTAGCAAAGATTCTGAGCTGCTTTTCCAAAAGTCACTTAAGACGTTAAGGCAAGTCTCCAATGGGGATGAGGCACTATATTTCTTTCAGGCCAAGAACCTAAGAGCCTCCGTCTTTATCCAGTGACAGCAGCCCTTTTGTTGCCTGCCAACAGAAATACCACTCTGCCAATCCCACACCACAATCAAAACCAATGCCTTTATTTTGAATTTAGTAGTGTTTAGTCCTAAAGGTGAAATACTTTATTATATCTTTGAGTTCACTCCAAGTTTCGAGTACAGTCATGTTAAAAAAAATTCTCATCCACCACTATTATTCCTCTCTACATTTACACTGATTGCAAAAGTCACTCGTCTTATAGACCCTACAAGCCATATATCAAAATCATCATACAGCCAAGAGTCCCAGGAGTCAGAGAAATTAATTTGGGACAACCCCAGGATTTATCCATCATATCTGCAAATGCCCATTTCACTGGACTGGGTCACCCCCATGATTCAGATGTGCAAAAGACTTCGCTGGTTCATCTTCTCCCAGGATTCAGACTGGGCAGCAAATCTTCAAACTCAGTCCCACAGTCTGATATGCCATGAGCACAGGATCTGGTTCCAAGGAGTCATAAACTACACACAGTTCAAAAGCCATGAAGTGCTGGCACTGGATTTACCTCAGCTTACCCACTAAAGTCTAAAGTTTGGGGCATAACTTAAAGTTAGTCAGCTATTCTTCCTCTTTGGAAGCCAGGGGATGCAACACCCTCCAGAGTGCCTCTTTGACTCCTTGCACGGCTCAGAGGGAGAAGTGTGAGTGAGACAAATACTACCCTGCAAACAGAATGACAAGCTGACATGCCGTAGATTCCTCCAGCAGTATTATTAAGTGACAAAACTGCCAGTTTCTATAAATTGATTCACTAAGATCAGCAAAACCAGAGTTTCCTCCTGTGTGTTGAACATTTAATAGTTCTTCAAAATTATGGGGGAAAAAAAAAAGACACAGATTGCGGGGAAAACCAGCAAAAATATTGGTTTTGCCTGGGTGGTAAGTAATGCTGAGAATAAGCACACTTTGACATAACTAGCACTTAGAAGACAGGAAGCAAAATATTAATGTTAATAAATAACTAAATACACTTTCCCCTTAAATATTGCTTACACCCTGCTAGTGGCAGGATGCTGTCAGAAGAATTCAAAAAGATTAGGAGAAAATTCAAACATTTTAAATAAAAATAAAATCTAGTTGCACATGCAGAAATTGGGAACAGCCAGTGTGTTTTAGGAGTCATCAGGGTTGGAGAGCCAAAGGTGAGTGAAAATGAAGGACACTTCCTCTGCGCAGTCATAAAGGCTGACACTGTTTTGACTGCACAGACAAGATTATCAAGAGGAAGGGAAAGCAACTCCAGAAGATTTTCCTATTTGTTATAACTATCTTGTGAAAATTTCTAAAGTACCTCATTCTGTGTTTTAAAGCACTGGAAAATGGAACTTATTTACTTGCAGAAATAATAGTGCTACAGGGGATTAATGGGATATACAGAAAAGAGTGATTATGTTCCAACACTGACTAAGTGTAACTAAAAGAATGGATATATTTCCAATAGATGAGTTTTCAACATGCATATACACTTACCATGGGGAGGAATTACTCTGTATGACACACTGAGGAGTACTAATTCAAAGCAGTAAACTGAGAACAGCTGAAAATGAAGGTTAGAAGGAAACTTCCACACAATTGAAAGCAAAATATATCAAAGCTGTAGACCATGGTTTGTTAAAAATCTATTGCAATACCATGCCTGCAACACCTGATACAATGTTGCCAGGTACAGGCAGAACAGTCATTTATGGACAATAGCAGCTATGGATGCTTAATTTTTTCTAATATTCACACACCTTCACAGTATCCATGCAAAGAAAAAAGCATGTTTAGGAAATGCAGAAACTCCTCCAACCTTTTGTTCTAACCATCTGTGACACTACCACTCCCTCTGCACCTTCTTACAATGTGGAGGAAATAAAAGAAATTACCACATCACCAACTAAAGGACACTACCTGCAAACTTTAACCAGAATAAGACTAGATGAGGATGTGAGATAAAGTCTGCAAAAACCACAGTTCATACTGAGAGCTTATCAGAGGACACCCCTGGTATGTTAGAAGACACCTATGACTTGTCCTGCAGCAGTCCTGACATTCCTTAGAGGTTGTGGAGCTCCCAGGAAGCAAAGTGTGTAGAAGGAAAATGATAGCCTTCAGTGTTCCTACACAAAAAGGGGGAAGTAATTAATAGTGGAAATCATGCATAGAAAAAAAAAAACAGTCACAGATCTTCATGAATGCCTACCTGAAATATCACCAAAAGAGGCTATTCCTCTTTTAATATCCAACTGGCTTTTGGTGTGGTCTTTGGTAGCTTAGCACTTGTATTGCAAAGGTAAATCACCTGTAAACATTCTTCTCTTCCTGTTCAGGGACCCCTGTCCATTTGTATCCCTTTTCCTTTGATAGTTCCTTCTACGATTCTCTAGCTGAGATGCGCAGAGAAGCCAGTCTGGGGAAGGGAAACCTCACAGCCCTTTGGACTCTTCCAATGTTCCAGCAAGTCAAAAGTGCTCTCAAGGCACAGAGAACAGCAGGAAAGTACCACGAATGAAAATCATAGAGTTTTTTTCCTCTTTTAATAAGACCCCTATGTATTCCCATGTAGAGAAAATGACTGAGAAGTATCTCATTCTCTTCACTTTCCTTCTTGTTACTAGCTGGAAGTAACAGACAATTTTCAGCAAAACTACAAAGAAACACCACAGCGCAAACAGATCCCGCCAAACCCAAGCAGCAGTGCTGTACAAAGACAAGGTAGCATCCTCTGTTATTGTTCTACCAATCCATGGTACTGGTCAGTGGAATCCTCTTCTCAACAGAAATGGCAGCATAGGTCCCATATGGCAAATCTTACCCTTTGGATCCATGTTTTCTAAACAGTGAATGGTCCCATTCAGGACACTTGGTATTCCATAACAAGATACTCTATTTTCTAACAGATAAATCAATACTCACATATTTGGAAGTGCTTAAGCTCTCCAGGTAAAAGCATAAGATCCTTTTCTTACTGATAGACAAAAACAAGACACTCTGAGCACAGCATCAAGAACGGAACACAAAATGGATGCAAAATGCATTAATTTAAGGTCTCAAATAATTTTGGTATTTCACAGCAACTTAATCTTTGCGCACATACGCAGAAGGAGTAACTGATGACTGTGAAGCAGCATTTCATCCACTACTAAGTTGAAGACTGTTAAGTCAGAACTGTTTCCTGCCTTTAAAAGGCCATAACTTGGCATCATCTCCTTACAGAAGTACTACACCAGCACTCTAACACACACCTGTCTTCCAACACAAAATAAAAAAAATCCTTCTGCATTTACCTTGCTTGGCTTCAAAATCTCTAGTTTGCCCAAATCCTTGGCCCACAGCCCCCACCCTGCCCCAACCCTATTTTGAAGCAACACTCGGGATGCCAAGGGTCCTGAACACTGAGACAAGGGAAAAGACTTAACAAGTATCTAATAAAGACTTTAAAATGGGAGCTTAAAATTATGTTATGAGGTCTAACTATTTTCTTAATATTTTAGATCAAAAAAATCCAGAGGCATAAGACTCTGAGCAGGGTGATAATTCCTCTATACTTAATTAAGGCCTTCAGTTTATATACTGCTGCTTGCTCTGTCAGCTTGTCATTAGACCATATAAAACATCAGACCAAGAAGAGGTAAATGGTAGAAGGTAGAAGTGTGACAGACTTTCTGAACAACACAAATGAAGTTCAACTACACAATACAACCACAATGGAGTCAAACAACAGCCAGCCTGTACAGGTTCTCAAAATTAAATTAGACCATCCTTACAGTACAGATGTTTTACTCACAGCACTTCTTGCACAGACATCCACAAAAGGGACTGATCGAGTAAAAAAAATTGAGGAGATCCAAAGTCCAGGAAAGTTCAAAACAGTTTAGTTTACATACAGAAAACCTCAGTTCCAAAAGTTCAAGTGCAAGTGAACTTCTAATTAATATTAATCACAAACACCACGAGTTTAACCATGCAAACATTTTAATTATTTAAATTGCTCTCTTCCGAGCATGAAGAGACAGAAGTACCACTCCACAGTGGTATTTCCTATGACAGTGACAAAGGACCACTTGCTTATAACTTAAATATAATAAATTCCTGTTTTGTGTAACTGAGGCTGAATACCCACAGGATATTATTAACATTTTCCCTCCAGCATCTGGTCTATTAAAGAAACACAGAACAGCTTTGCTGTAGTACAAAAGTTTACAGAAAGTTCAACAATTTAATTAAAGACAATACAAAATATGTTGCCTGAATTCAAATAATTTATGTAAAATACATGCATGAGAAAACACTGGCAAGAAGATTTGAGTAACCCTATTATCAGATGCATGTTCTTTGTTCCTAGAGATAACATACAGTCAAAAATACATTTATAATTTAAGTTACAATAGAAGACAGTATTTCAAACAGAATTTCAGGTCTACCAGCCCTTCAAGGCAAAAACAATTCCTGTTAATACAGGACAAACTGATAGAATAAAAAAAAATAGAGCAATACTGAAGTCTCTGAACAAGCCTGAAGTGTTTAATTTTTCCTTTTATCAAGGAGGGAGAAGATATCAGAAAATAAAGGGGACTCTGTCTTCTCAGGTTTTTAGTAAAAGTGATCAGAGCATCAGGGATTACTTTCATCCATATACCCCAGAAAAAGCCACTCTCCTTGTGGAGAGACAGGGCACAGATCAGGCACAGATGTTCCCTTCCACACAAAGCAGTCTCACGTTCACACAGGCAAGGATCCTGTATCCAAAGGAAACAACCTGGTTCTCAGGGGGGCAGCTTGGCCCCAACAAGCACTTTCTCTGAGCTTCCAGCAGCACTACTAATCCTTTCACACCACAAGTTATTCTTCACCTTTATAGAATACTGAACCCCCAGAAGTCACCTTCTTCTTTATGGTATCAGACTGAAATACCCAATATTTCTTACCATGTGTCACTTGCCCTCCACATTTTTGTGGTCAACTAAACAGTTTAACAAGACGACACATGATTAACTTCTTTCAAGATATTTTAGTTCATTGATTCTCAATAAAAGCACTGGTTGCAGTACAATAGTTTGACATACAGCAACAAAAGGTACTCAATTTACATGCACAAGCTATTTAACAATAGTACACAGCCTTTCCTATTGCCATTATAAAACAAATACTACTGTGACAGCTGGCACAACCTTCCAATTGTTCTCATGAGCTGTAATAGAGTGATGAAAACAGTGTTCTGATGGAACAATGCCAAAGAACAGTGATTTGGCCACTGCTAGAAGATTCCAATCAAGATGCCAGTATCGTAATGGGAAACAGTGTTGAAATATTTGTAAAAACAGTGACAAAAGAAGCTATGCAAAATTGCTTTGACTGGTACTTCAGTTTAAGAAAAACGTGGGAAATACAAACAGCTTTGTATAGAAACAAAAAATGCATGGACAGGCAGAAAAGTTAGAAGTTTAAGGCAAGATAAATGTGGGATAAATGAGTAAAAATACTTCTGAACACTGAAGTACTGAAGCAATCTGTTGGTGAAAGAGCACATAACTGCCTTTCTGGATTGTTTTTGTGGGTTGGGGTTTTTTGGTTTTTTGTTAAGAGTTGTGGGGTTTGTTGTTGTTTTTTATTGTTTTATTTAATTTTATTTTAACAAAGCTTCCACCTTTGAAGTGCAAGCCAAAACTCCTCTGCATTTGTGTTTGATGCTTGGCTGAGCCTTCATTCAGTTTTACATCTTGGTCCAGATTTTCATGGTTTAATGTGCGAAGTACAGCACATACTATTACGACTACTCACTCCAAACTGTCAACATCTGTTTCTTAAGAAACAGATACAAGTGTCACCTTCATTAAAGTTAGTTTCAGTATTGCTGTTAAAGGGCTTTTAGAAATCAGAACAGAGAAGTCAGATTTATAACAATGAGATAAGCAACGAGCTTTGTAAAATACACACATGTTACAGTAAGACTTTTCCTACAGCAAATAAAAATCATCAAGGGACTTTTTTTTTTAGCATTTCTTTCTAGGTTTCAGAAGTGCTAGCAATTTCAGCAATAAAACTTTCAAAGTGCCCTGGCTGTGCCAATTTTTAGTGGCTTTTCCAAATGGTATTCAAACAAGTAAGAAACCTAAGAGACAATTGGCAATTTAGCATTATGCTATTAGCAAGTAAGATCCTGAAATATTATGACTATTCAATAGTTGTCATCATTTTATTCATAACCATATAGAAAAAAGCAGTTACATGATACTGCACTGTCAGGTCTATATTATGCCAAGTAAGGCTGCAAAAACAAATGTAAAAAAAGTAAAAAGGTCTGGATTCTCCTATTTCTGTTGCCTAGTTTTTATAAGTAATTGTCTCAGTAAAAAAAAAAAATGTAGCAAAGGCTTAATCTTAAACACAAAGGTATTATCATCAAATCCTCTAATCCAGACTGATGGTACACTTACCATTTCAACTGAACCACTCAGTACAAACTTGTAATGCTAGCATTCATTCATACCCTGAACTGTTCCCTGGCCTCATCTACCCAATCAACTAGTCACACCTTATTTTAAGCAGAACAATTTAAAAAGTTCTTTGTGGTTTTGAAACAGTTGGTTTGAATTCTTTAATATCACACTCAAACCACAGGAAGACAAATACAAGGATATTTCAACTCAATTAGCAAAATATGTTTAGAAAGGAAAAAAAGGCATGAATATGGAAATATAGAAGGTGTTAAAACACTTTAGAAATGGACTTGGTAGAGAGCCTACACTGGAAACACTTACCTTGTCAAAGCATCAACATGATCATCTCAAAAGACAATTCAGAGACACTTAAGTCAGAATTGTGAAAAAAAATGAACCTATACTGTCAAAGATCACTAAAATATCTAATCTAAGGCAGTGTAAAATGATGGCTGGTGAGGGGCAACCAGTGACCTTGAAAAGTGAGGGACTTCAAATTACTCACACTAACCTTCTTAATAATCTGCACGGAAGGACTACCAGTGATATTTCTGTCATGTGATTACAACTGTTAAGCAACCAATATGCAACTCAAGAGTGATACTGTCATCCATGGTGGATTATTGAAGTAATAATCCATTAAAGAATAAGTTCAAAGGGGAAAGTGGTAAACATCTTGCCATAAGTGAAAACACTTCAAAAATTTACAATTAAATAAAAAGTTAGATGATATCTTATAAAAAGAAGTACTGAACACAACAAGGCCACAATAAATTAGTGTTTCCATAAAATGACATGCTGAAGGTTTTGTTCCCAAGTCTATACATTTTTTTACTGTCTGTTAATTCCTAAATATTGACAGTATAATTGAATAATTGAGGTACAGTAGTTTACATTTGTATATGTCTTGTAAAAAGATTATTATTTTTCTTCCAGTTTTTCTTCCTCCTCGCCAAAGAACAACAAGGGAAACATTCCTAAAATGCAGCCAATGGTCACTCCAATAGCTTTACCCTAAAGAAAGGGGGAAAAAAATTAAATTTTTCACTGATCAGTCGTTACTCATTTCCCATGTACTACCACAACCAGGAACAAACACCCCTTGTTCTAGTTTGCAGCTGGGAGTCATGTTTTTCTTTGCATGCAGACTACAAACACAGTCTATGAGAGTGAGACAGATGTGACAAGGTTAGAAACAGTGTTTGCTATGATAAAAGACAATTCTGAAGAAGGACAAGGGCAATGATCATGACAAGTGGTAAGGGAGGAAACAGACATTCAAAGGATTAGCAGAATGGCCAGGAAGAGAGAAAAGGAAAAAAAAAACTAAACAAAACAACAAACCACCAAACAACACCTACAGACATTTTAGGTGCAATTATAAATGCATCTGCTTGTATCTGGTACTGCAAATCACCAAAGGAGTGAGTGGCTCCTTGCAAACATGATGGCTTTCAAAGGCACAAGGCAAAACCAACAAAAACTGGAAAACATTTCAGTTGACCTGAATGTATAAGTCAAGAGGAGAGGAAATAAGAAAGACAAGCAACTTCCAAATCACATCAATAGCAGAAGGTGGATAGTGTTGAAAAACTTGAGACAGCAGGTAAAGAAGAAAAAATGCTACCATGCAGGCAAAGGTACACAGAAGTCTTTTCACAGAAAAGTAATATGAACAAACTGAGTGCAATGACAGGGTTTTGCCATAGGCTCAGCTTTTACTGAGAAGACTCTTAAGACTATGGGCAGATCCCTGACAACTTGTCAGCTCTTCACTGCTCTGTGCTTTGATCTACCACTGCTAAAACCTGACTTTTTCTATTACAACTTTTCCTCAGTAAGTGCTATTTATCTTCCCATGAATCTGCAAAAGTATTTTTCCCAATGAAGGCTCATTCTGGCAAAGTGAAGTATCTGTTTCTTTACTCTGTTTCTGATAATCTGTTTCTATAATCATTGTTGTAACTGCTGAAGTGGGACCACTTCAAATGTTTAAATGTTAAGTAATCACCCTGAAAATGCATCTGCAAGGTGAGTGGCCTGTAACTGTAAACACAGGCAGTGAATATTACTCAAATGCTAAAAGTTTGGCCAGAGAAAAGCTAATTTCATATCCAAGCTAATTATAGAATATCAGAAATTAGTACAAACCCGCACAGGTATATGAATAGCAAGCACTTGACAAAGACTGTATAGGAGTAAACTACGAAGGGGTCATTACTTCCAAGTAAATTATCACCGTAGCCAGAGCTCAACCCAGGTATCTGCAAAGCATACACAGTCATTGCAGAGACTATCCATGGCACTTGTCACTTGGGGTTTGCTGCATAGAAATAAACTCAAGCTCAAAAAAAAACCAATCTCTTGGCTCTCCCTGACTCGGGCTCAAGACTCTGGAGAACATGCACAATGTTGGTAGTCATTTAGGAATAAATGGGAAAAGTGACAAAAAGCATTTATCAGCTAATAAGACAAATCAGCTAATAAGACTAATAATTAATCAGCTAATAAGACAAAAAGCTCCACACCAGCAGTGCTGCCTGCAGGACACTCACCAAGTGTGCACTGAGACGGGTCTGCCACATGTCAGCTTGTTTGGGTGTCAGGTCAGGGATTGACAGACCCAGTCGTGAAGCCAAAGCTTCTACATAACCTGCAAGACTGGAAGAACAAGAAAAGAACAAACGATTTTGAATCTCACATATCTTCTAGTGAAGTTTCTTTCTAGTTGAAATACTAGCACTTAAAAAACAGAGCTTTTCCTTCAGCATACCAATGAAGTGATTGAGAGAAAACCATGGGAAAGAGTTCAGACTTCTAAAGGTCACATTTTACAATGTAAGTTAATTATCTCACTGCTTTAATATACAATATTTCCGAAAAACTTTATGCAGTACAACACAACTGGTGTGAATGTCAATGCATCTATGCAGAGCTTTTTAAGTAACATTTACTGGAGGAAAGGTTACACACAGACTAGTTAGTGGCAAGCCTTGTAATTTGCAGAAAACAAAACAGAGGGAAAGTGGGAAAAACAGGCATAACAAACAGCTTTACTTTCAGCAGTTATGCAGAAATTTCCTTTAAAAACAAAAATAAGCTGTATCTATTTTTATCAGAAATAGGTATGCCTAGACCTGAAGACATTTCAGAGATACTGTTTTAGCTAAAGAGAAGGAAATCTCTTCAGACCTGGCGATAACAACCTGAGAAGGTATATTAGGCAGAACTATATTATATTACAATAAAAATATTTTTCCACTTTGCGTCTCAATGAATGCACTTAATGTTCTTAACACAAGTTCATACATACCCCAGTCCAGCTAAATCTGAAACAAGGTTTCCCAAAGCTGCAGCTGGAGGGAGGAAGAAGGAAGAGAAAAAGGTATTATTTTAGCTATGAACAGAACCAACGAGCTCCGACCCTTCAGTAACCCTTGCTTACTCTTAATTTATATAGATCTAAAGACTAGACCTAAGTTCTTTATATTTTAGCGTTTTTATTCTGACCTTATTACAGTTTCATAACAGCAGCAGACTAGAATTAGTAAGAGGCGCAACTATTTTTCTCAATTTACATGGTGAAAACTTGACAAATACAAAAAAAACACTAACACCTGGAAATCAACGTAACTTTTGAGATTGGAGTTAAGAACAGCTGTGCATGGTTATCAGCTCCATGTAGCTAATGCTAGACACCAAGCAAGGCCCTCCAGTGCCTGAAGAGGCTCAGGAGCACTGGAAATAGAAGGAGCTGTCACTTAGGTATGCAGCTTTGATAAACATGTCAACATATCCATGAACTGTGTCAAATTAAGAAGAAATACTGTACAGAAGTGAACAAAGTTACACACAAAATACATGATTTCACAGCAGACCTTACTAAGATAAGCCTCCCTGTGACTGTCTCATATTGAACCAAGGCCTGCAAATTCCCAAACCTTTAACTTGCTCTGCTATAACAATTTCAGTTAAGCTCTCTCTCCTCATGCTTTCGAGCAATGCTGCACCTGCAGCTGCTGGATCCATGAGCGCCCTGACACTGCAGAGGCATCAAAGCTGTTGAGCAGAGCTTATCAGTTTTGGCCCAGTGCAGGAACAGGGTGGCTGCTTGGCCTTCCTGGGCTATCTCATCCAGGCAGAGAAGCCACCAAGAACTGCAGTAAAAAGACACCAACACTGATCTCCACTTAGCAGTGCAAGCCAACAGCAACGTACAAACACATATATCTACACACATTGATACTGGGCCCTGGGGAATCTAGGGCAGCTCCATTACAGAAATGCAAATATACTTTCTGAACTAACCCAGGATTTGAATGATTAGGCTGAAATCAACAAAAAGCATTTCAAAAGCTATTTGAACTGAAATTCCATTTCTGCAAATGGAATATGTCCTTGCTTCACCCAGAGGTTGTTTCTTTATTAGGAAAGGCAGCTGCAAAATTGAGGAAGAACCATTTCCAGCCCTGTGTGCTACTTTCAGCCTAAAATATGGGAATGTGCCATACTATTCTAAATGTGCTGCAATTTTAATACTTGCCTGCCATAGTTGAAATTCCTAAGACAACTCCAATTGACAATTCTATCTGGGTTCCCTGAAAAATAAACAGTTTTCTCATTATTTGCGGGATTTGGAGTTAAAATAAATTATATTGATACAACTGACAGAAGTATTGTTTATTGCTTGTCTACGTTAAAAGTGAAAGGATAAATGGACATTTCTCCTTTTAGATCACAGAAATCCTATCTTCCTGGCATATATATTTCCCCCTAAGGCAAGGGCCTACTTCTGAAAATCTTTCAGTATTTCCTACTCTTGTAGCAGGGAGCTGGCAGACAAATCTGCAACCTCTATCCCTGCATACCATCTTCCCCACTGGCAATTCTTAGCTGAATGTACAGCTCTGAACAAAAACTTCTACAAATACCAAGCAAACAAATAAAACACAGTATCACAGCTCCTTATGTTTTCATCTGAAGAAACGTAACCACATGGCCTGCATTATGAAACACCAGTACATGGTCAAAAGATGAGAGACAATGTGCATGAACTAAAACAAGACACGTTCCAGTTGGATATAGCAAAACATTTTCCATTGTGAGGACAGCTGAGCACTGGAACAGGTTGCTCAGACAGGCTGCCCTTGGATTTCTCAAGTCCCTCAGGATAAAGCCATGAACAACTTGGTCTCATCTTACAGCTGGTTCTGCTTTGAGCAGGAGGTTAGACTAGAGACCCTGAGAAGGTCCTGATTAGGGGGACTTTCTAGACTAGACCTCACAGGCCATTCTAGTCTGTTGAAAAATATGAATCTTACAGACTTGATCAAGGAATTAAACAGTGAACTTACCGCAGCAATCATAATTGCGTTATCCAAAAATCCAAACCCTACAAAAGGTAATGCATTGTGGAAGAACACTAAAAGAAATAAGTAACAAAGAAAAAATAAATATTTATAAGAGTTCTCTAGTGCACAGGAACAACTGAAATGTCTAACTGGTTTTAAGAGAAACAAAAGCGAAATACACAAAATTCCTTTCCTACTGGTCACCTTTTTGTTGCTGTCAGGTATGGTGAAACCCTTTGCGACACAGAAATGTTACTAATGGCTTGTGAAGAACCAGTTAAACAACCTACTTTGCAAATACTTGTACAATTTCAGGTGGAAGTGACTTATGCCTATTAGTGCACAAGAGAAATACTTAAAACTACACAAACTCTGGTATTATTTACAGACCTTACAGCGATGATGCATTATCACTGAAGATGACCAAACTGTCTCACCAGATTCCCTGCATTCTTCTCTTGCTTGAAATAAAGGCCCTTTCTCTGCAAGTCCCTTGCTATTTCTGGGCAAAAGTTCCATCTTCTTCACACATTCCTAAAATTTTATATTTTAAAAGCATTGTCTGGAGCTAGACAATTCTTGTCAAAACTCCTTCAGCCAAATCTACTAAGGTGGGTTTCACTAGAGTGTCATATACTGTTAATTGTCTCACCATTTCAACCAAAACTTCTCTATCTTGATTTTGTTTGTGCATTATCTCCAGTGCAAGTTAGACTTGTAGCTGCTCCATAATACACTGCTTAAGAAGCCAAGGTCCACTTTTTGTTTCATGCATTTTCTTCTTTTTTACTTCTGAAACCCATTAAATCCTTTCTGAAAATATTTTCTGTTGCAGAAGCTTGGAACATTCTGGTCTGAGTAATTTCTAAGAATGAGCACAGTGCTACTGTATCATTCCTTTTTGCCCTGCTTCATTTTCTCTCTCAGGTTTTAGCCTGTAAGCTTTTGATGGGGGTGGAACTGAATTTGCACAGTGTTGTCTCCAGCTGAGTTTCAAGGTGCTCATTTCGTAAGACTAAATACAGCGTAAGGACAGACTACATGACAAAAATACAGCTGAAAGGTTAAAATTTTCATTTTTTTAACATTTGAAATGCAGCAGATATTCAGTTTGGATTTGGTTGGAGTTTGGTTTTTTTTCTTCACTTTATACTGGACAATATTTTCTACATTTTATAAACTTAAAGAGATGCAAACCTAGGAAGAGGGATGAAAGAAGAGTGCGTGAACCTCACAGTCATGTAGAAAAAAACTGGTAGAAGTACCTTTTGTGTTTCCTTTGTGCAGACAGTATGAACCCATGACCACACAAAAAAACCAAAGCCACATTCAAGATCTTTCATGCTTAGGAACTAGAACATGAATGGACATCTGTAACTACTTTGTGAGATACACTTATCTTTTGAATGCACAGGTGAAAGACTACAGCACAAAACCTATGAAACTTTCCAATTATTTTTAAACTATCTCAGGACAAACCCACCAAAACATAAATAACATAAAAAGCACACAGATATGCCAAGTGTTTTCAAAATGTGCGTACTGGAGCTAAACTGGGACCTCAAATTCTCAGTGAAATGGACAGAATTTTGGAATTCGTCAAATAAACAGAACCCCAGGGACAAACGTGGGTGGGGGGAAACCAAATTAGAAAAAAATGTAGATAATTAGAAAAGGAAAATGTTTGCCTAAACAAATTTGCTCACTGCAGAGTACAAAACCACAAAATACACTAATTTGGAAACTAAATCAGAATTTGAATCATGGTATTATAAATACACAATCTGTTTCCAATTTCTCTGCAATTTTATACCACTTCTCAGTCCTTTTAAAAGACAAAACCTCCACAAGGCACTGCAGCACCAACACTGCTTGGCTTAGAAAAACAATCTTTGCTGCTGGCTTTGAACAGCATGCTCTCATTTGGGCTTTCTGTCCTACTTTCACTAAATGTTGCACATTCTCCAGCCGAGGTGTTATGAAACAAAGGCAGCAGGGTGAGTGTTGGTGCTTGCTTTGGTTTTCTCTTACTCCATACAACAGGGATGAGGACAGACCAGCATTCGTGGAACAAAGATGAAGCCAATTCAAAGAGAGACTGCACAAATACTGAACCACATTCAACAAACATTCTTCTTTTACCATGTCTCAGTTGTCCTGGAGATGGTGGCGCAACCTCCAACTTCTCTAGAGAAGTCAAAATGAAATGAGAAAGTTAGCTGCTTCATCACAAATTTGGTTTATTATCAAGTTTTTACCAAATTACTTGCAGGCAAAAAAGCAGTCATGTTATTTAACAGCTTTCAAATGGGAAAGAAAAATACTTCACACCTACGTTTTTATTATTTTTACAAAAGACAGCATTAAAAACTATTAAAAGCCATAAAGTCTTAGACTATTACAAGCTTACACTAGTATAAGTGATTATGCAAAGTAACAGCATACTTCAAAAGCAGTCTAACAGCCATCTTAATTTGAAAATTACAAAACCACACTAAAATTTGAAAAATCAAATCTTCTAGAGACTATTGTATGTTATTTTTTTAGAGGTCCTCTACACATGCAACACACAACCTTCTTTCCCTCAGAGAGTCTGCAAAACAAATCCTACCTTTCATATTCTCGCAAAAGGTATTTTTCAGAGCAACATAAGAATAAAAGAAAAATATAGACCACTGATTTCAGTAGCAGCAGATTAAGTTTGGTCATTTGGTGTATGTTTCAGGTATCCTGAACTCAAATCAGTAACAGTTAGCAAGGACCAGGACATCATTTCTGAACCTAACAGAGTACTTTCTCTACAGAAAACAAATGCAGTTGAGATCAGAGATGCTGTGCAGAATGCAGCAAGTTACTCATTTAACAGCAACAAGGGAAAAAACCTAGCTACTTTTTTGGTTTCTCTTGTGTATTTTTTAATGTAGACATTGAGAACAAGACCTCCTTTTTAAAGCAGGAAAAAAAAATCATTCCCCCAGTATTTTCCAATATTATGAACCCTGAGGTTTTGACAAGTTGCTTCCATACTTCTGCTGAGGCAAGTTCTACAGACAAAGGTTAAAAATGGTAAAACATGGAACCTACAACACTCAAGTATTCAAATTTTACTTAGGGCAGCCAAAGTGCATAGAAAGACAATGCTGCAAACACAGACTATGATTAATTTTAGCCTATGTCTGAGCACTGCATACTGAGTATTCTTGCATCCAAATCACTCTTAGATTCAAAGCTATTATAAAGAAGAAATGAAAATATTCACTTAAGGTGCCTTTGAGGAATAAAAGTTAGATCATAATACCAGTATTCAGCCAACCAGGACACTGACTTGCAAAATAATTTCATCAACTGAAGGTCTTCAACATCTTTCAAGCTCTAGCAGCTACTGAAGAGGTGCTTCCTCCCTCTGCCCAATATAAACACTACCTAAGCTCTAAGAACAACAGATGTACTCACCATGCAAATGGGACAAGTAGAGCCCCAATACTACAGAAATAAAGATTATTTTGCTCTTCCCTAGAAAATGACAAGGAATTCACAGATTCAAAGCTCAGGTTTTGAATGGTAAACAGAGGGGGGCCCTGTGAGAGTCAATCTTCTGAAGCCTTGAGTATCAACAGCAAGAAAACATCAGACCAAAATTTTCAGCTTGTGTTCAGGAAGGCTGGGATTGGGGATGGGACTCTTTTTTATATGGTCTCCTCACAGGTTAAGCAAACCTTTTACATAAGGATGGACAAAGAAGGAACTATCTATATACACCAGTACTGCCCTTTGGGCAGCTTTTCTCAGAGACAGTAAATTTCCACAACACTGAGGAAATCGGAGGCACCTTGAAACAGAGAGATTAGCTGAGGCCACTGTTTCCAAAAGCTCCAGACGCCCTGAGGGTAGCCAGGCAACCTAAGGCAACACTGTCACATTTCTGATGAAGCTTCCCTAAACTCATTTGCTCCATCCTGGTGAACGCCAAGGAGAGAATAGAAATCCCAAACCAAAGACAAGCACAGGAGGTCACAGAGTGCTGCCCTCTGTTGCTTTCTGCTCTGACGGGAAGCTCTCACACCAACCACTGTGGTTCCCGGGCTTCCTGTGGCACTGCCACTGAAACCACCCCTGCTGCCGTGCCCATCTAGTTTCCAGATCTAGGTCTCCATATAAGGGATTTTGTGACAAGAAACTGTAACAACATAAATTAATTTCCAGGAAATACTCTACCTCTGAGGAAAACATATTTTCAGAGTTTTTCTTGATTATGACAGCCAGTTAGATTAGATAATTTCAATCTATTTTGAGTATCAATACAGAATACAAAAGACTATTCAGCTTGTCACAAAATACCACAAAGATCTAGAACATCAGTTCTCTGGATTTAACTACAACCAAGTTTGATAGCACCTGTCATTCTACACAATTACATTCTACTCAGTCTAGCTAGACAGCTATTAAAAAAGCTAAAAAAAACAGTGCATAATTGATTTTAGAAACTTAGTACCAAAAGGAAGAATCAAAGTGTTTGGTAGAAGGAAAAAGGAATGAAAATGTCTTATGTATAGGAATAACAAGAGTTCCAAGTTACAATAAAAAGAACATCAGTTCCTCCTTCAGAACATAGATCAAGGACTACCTTGGGATGTTTCTAAAAGAAGGGAGGCTGGGGGACACTACTTTGAGGTTAGAGGAAAGACAAGTTAGTACAAGTGTTGGGTTTCAAGCAAGGTAGGCGCCCTGGCCAGCTCCAGCACAGGCGGCTATCCCCAGCTGCACGGACCACATCTCACAGCATCAATGTGATGGATGACGAATATGGCGATTTATTGCAGAAGAACTTAACATTTTATAGTCTGGGGTCACTGTGTTACTCCCATCTGTTTACATCACACTTAGGTGCTACTGGCTAATTACAAGAGGACTTACTATCCTAGAGAGAGGGGTAGTTTGCTAGCTTTCCGTTACATCCTGGATTCTTCCGCACCGCCAGGCCCTAACTACAACATACAAGATAGAGGGAAATACCAGGGGATCAAATATAGACAAAAATTACTTAATCGTTGACATAATCTGTTTCAGTAGCGTGGGATTCCTGCTAAATAGGCATTTTATCAAGCAGTCCTTCACCACTATCAGGGCAGAAGCTGTGAGAGAGGTCACTGGGAACAGCACGGTGGCACCACGCTCTGCTCCAGAGACCAGACTGCTCCTGACCAGCCACAGGGAGCTCATGCCAGTAATGGCATCTTCCTTCTGCACATGCAAGAACTTTGTTTCATAAAAATGAGTCTTGTAAACTCATGTGGAAGCATGCTTGGCTTGCATCTTCCCTCATCATCAAGATAAAAATTAATCTGTGAAAAAAATCTGTGATTACACATATTAATAAGACAGAGATAGGGAAGTCTGCCAGATGAAGTTCAGATCACTGGTGCTGGTGAACGCTGCACATGCTCCGGACAGGGCAGCTCCCTCTCTGTCTGAGCCAGGACAGAGCCTGAGAAGGCATCTCATCCCACCCCAGCACAAAGCAGGGCCAAGTCAGAGCAGGGGAGTCAGGACCTTGTCACATGGTACCTGCAGGAAAAGACGCATGGGAAAAGCTGTCCCCTCTGGAGCATCAAAACAAGGCTTTAAAGCACAAAGGCAACTTCCCTGAGAACTGGTGCTCTGCCTCTGCCAGGTGCAGAGCACCGCCTGCTGCAGGAAAGGGCTGCTCCAGCTCAGCTCTACTTGCAGAGGCCAAAGATTGGTTTAAAGCTGCGACATGGGGAAGAGAAAATAATTAAAGCAGACAAAAGACCCCAACCACTGTGGCATGAAAGTCAAAAACCTTTTTACAGAATCACTTCCAATACCACCTCTTTAAAGAATAACATACTTTAAAATTCTGCAAGATATGAAAGCACTGGGAGCCAAAAAAAATCCTTAAAGAGATTTTTAAAAACCCTAGATAGCAAAATATATTTCGGAATACGGTATTTATTTATAGGAAGTTGTTCTGACTATTTGAGTTTTCAAAACTCAGCAAAAAACAAGAATAAAAATGTTCAGAGAGTACAGCAAAGGAAACGTTCCCTTTGTTTTACCAGAGGGAAAACAAAAATCAAATTTGCAAAACCCTATTTAAAGAGCTCAATTCAGTCAGAATCAAACAATTCAGAGTTTAAATGTCTGGGGGGAAAAGAAAACAACTCTAAAGTACTCCAGAAATGCATTTCATGATGGCCATTCACCAGCTCATCCTGTGCCACAGCATTCAATAAGACACAGAATTCATCTTATTGCAGAAAGAATAAAATGAAATGGTGGAGTGAGGAATTGCAATTTTCTAATTGACATTCATTATCATAAACAAGATTATAAACCAAGGTTCCCGTGCAATATATGTCAGGAGTCCTGAATTAGCAAAGTCTGGGAAGCAGAAAAACATTTACTGCTTCTTAAATCTGTTCTTGGTATTTTTTAAATTTATAGTATCATCTTTTTCTCTATCTATTTTAAAAAATAGTTAGAACCCAGGGTGGACTACAGGGGGTGAAGGAATGAAATATAAAACCATCAACATAACTTGGTCCAAACTCAGCAAGTTAAAGTCACTCTGCTAATTGAAGCCAAGTACTTGCAACTTAGTTTTAGAATTATTATTCTTAGCTGAAAAACTAATCACAAGTGACTAATGGATAGTGGGAGTGCGTTTATTTAAAAAAAAAAAAACCAAGAAAAATGCAGCAAATTGTCATCACCAGTTTCTGAATTATTAATTTTTTAAGAACTGACATACAAGAGAACTTGTGAGCCTAAAGGCATGTATCATGTTTTATTTGAATTGCAGCTAACACCACCATAAAATTTTATAGCTGAATCTGTTACTGTCACCCAGAGGCAGGAAACACTAACACTGTATGTATGTACTACTGCAAGAGCTACCCTAGGAAAATACTTGCTACTGCTGAGTACTGCCATATCTGAGACAAAAATATGAGCAGTGTTTTATAGCTTTTTAAATACTGACTGGATTGTTTAAATTAATTATTAAACCATGAGTATCAAGAAGAGGAATATAAAAAATCTTAATAATCTAGATCTACTATAACATCATTTTAGGCTTCAAATGTATCTAATCTAGAAGTTGCAGAGGGTGTTATCTTGAATTCATCAGTTTCCTCCAAAAAGCCCATCCAGATAATTTCAGCCAA